CCCCAAAACCCCAAAACCCCAAAACCCCAAAACCCCTTTTCCCTGTATAAAACTGATATTATATTTAATCAAAGCTGCCATCACTATCATCGTCGTTATCAGAGTCAGAATCGAGGAAAGCCATCTTTTTGGCAGCAGCTTGAGGTGCTACTGGTGGAGGAGTTGGGGTAGTTGGAGCTGCCGGAGTCTTCTTTGCAAACATGTCATCATCTTCATCAGAGCCATCAGAGTCGTCTAGCCAGTTGTTCTTCTTAGCAGCTGGTGCAGGAGGAGCTTTGACTTCTTCCTTTGGAGGAGAGGGTTTAGGAGCTGGAGGTGAAGCTTGAGCAGGAGGTGGAGGAGTTGGAGTAGAGGGAGGTGGTGTAGCAACTGGAGGAGGTGCTGGGGTCTTAACTTGAGGGGGAGATGGGTTTGTTGCTGGAGGTGGTGTTGGAGTTTTGGCTGGTGGTGGGGTTGGTGCTTTAGCAGGAGCAGGAGGAGGCGCACTAGCTTTAGTTTCCTCTTTCTTTTCATCTGTTCCAAATGCAGTCTTCTTCTTTCTTCTTCCTCTTCTTGATTTCAGGATAGGTTTTTCTAATTGAGCATTTTCTGTAAGCTCCATTTTAGACTCTTTTGCCTCCTTTGCTTCAAAGCTAGGATCCATGGCTCTCCTAATAAAAGCTGGCGGAGGTTTTCCTGTGGCATTCGGATTCATCATTGCTAGGAATCCAAGTTTCATGGCTTGCTCAGCTGCTTTCTTTTCTATTATGTATGAGTATTCTTTACTTACGGTCATCTTTACTGGCAGGTAGATCTGTTTTTTCCTCTTCTTTTGGAGAATCTTTTGACTCCTCTTTCTTTTCTTCTTGTTTTGGAGGTTGGGGTGGAGCTGGAGGTCCAGGAGGTGGCTGAATCTTAGTCTCTTCTGGAGGTACTGGAGTCGATTTCTTTTCTGATCCATCAGAATCATCATCATCAAAAGCAAATGGCTTAGGCTTTGGCTTTGGTTTCGAAGTTTGGGTTACTGGAGGTGCCGGAGGAGGTATAGGTTGTTTTGATTTTGAAAACATAAAATCATCCTCATCTGAGTCTTCATCATCTAAGAATGTATTCTTTTTCATAGTGGTCTGAGAAGCTTGAGGAGCAGGAGATGAGTTAGATTGCTTACTGAAATCAAGATTATCTGAAAGTTCACTCTCAACAATAGTGTCATCTAAAAACATTCTTTTAGCCTCATCCTTTTGAGGAACTGGAGGGGCTGGAGGTGCAGGTTTTGAAGTAGTTTCAAGTTCAAGATCTTCAGCATTGTCCTGTGTTTCATCTAAGAAATTAAAAGGCTTTTTCTTTGGCGGAGCAGGCTGATAATCCGAAGGGCCTTTCTTAAGTGGTGGAGAGGGCTCTTCTTGTTTTCGTGGTTCAGGTTCTGGATCATCATCGTCTCCAATACTGATTTCACTAGACATTCTTTCAGCTTTAATCTTTCCACTATTCATTCCTTTCATAATCATTGCCATCATATGGTTCTTAGAATTTGTATTTCTCTGCTTAGCAATAAAATGAGTTTCTCTACTAGTGTTCGAAATATAACTATTATCGAGATCTTGTTTATCATCAAACATTGCGGGAGCAGATGGCTTTTTCTCAGGGAACATTACACTTTCTTCTTCCTCATAGTCATCAAAGAATGCATTTTTCTTTTGTTGCTGGCCACCCCCATAGTCGAAAGCAGCCTTTGTTGTCTTTTGAGTAGCTGTGATATCTTCCATTACTTTTTGAGAGCCGGCAGGTGCTTCCGTAGTTCTTTTTGGAGGGGAAATCATACTTGCATTGCTCTCATCGTCCTCAAAGGTATCCATAAATAATCCTTTCTTTTCATTCAATGGTTTATTAGCTGTAGGTCTTGAGAGCATGATTGATTCATCCATGCTATCATCATTGACTGTATCATCTAAAAATCCTGGCTTCAAGATTTGATTTTGAGGAGGAGGTGGAGGAGCATTTGGAGGAGGCGTATTGTTTCCTACGTTATCATATTTATCCTCCTCTTCATCTTCCTTAATTTCTCCAAACATATTCTGAGTGTTCCTGACTAGATTATCTTTAGTTGCCTTGACTGGTTTATTATCAGCCATTGATTGTCTGCCTCCGAAAATGTTAGAAATATTATGTTTGCTGATATCTTGGTCCATTGACATCGACATATTATTCATAGAATCATCAAACATATTTCCTCCTCCACCGATCATGCTGTTATCAAACACGCTGCCCTTTTTATTTTGTGCGTAATTTTGCCTGATATTATTTCCTGACATGAACAAAGATTCGTCATTCATGGGGTCATGTGGCTCTGGCTGGCCCATCTGAGGAAGCCCGGGAGCACCTGGAGGTGGAGGAACTCCTCCAGGAGGTGGAGGAGCTCCAGGAAAGCCTGGAGGTGGGGGAGGTGCCATTCCACCAGGAGCTCCTGCTGGCTGTAATGGTCCAGTGGCAGGAGGATTATTGTATAAAATAGATCCTGCTTCACTAGGATCTCCGGCAATATTAGCTTCAGCATCCCTCTCAGCTTTTAGTCTGTTAATATCTTGGAGGAATCCAGCGAGATGAGCATCAGAATTAGCTCGGGGTTGAGTTGGCTGAATTGGAGGAGCAGGTGGAGGAGCAGGAAGACTACTTGTTCTGTCCAGAATATTAGAGATTCCGTGAGCTGGGGGTGGAGGTGGAGGAGGTGGACCTCCATTCTGATTTGCTGCATTCTCAGGAAACATAGGATCTCCAGGTGGATTGAATTCGTCAGGAGCAAAAGGTACAGCATCTTCAGCAAATGGATCTCCAAACCCTTCAGGCTCTTGGTTAAATTCATCTCCTATCAAATCTGGGGGTGTATCATCATCTTCAAGTTGATTAATTTCAACCATTCCCATATAAGGATGCTCCTCATATTGTTGGGAACTATAGATAGCTGGAAGTTTAAGTCCTTTTCTCCGATGCGTTGCATTTCCTACATCATCAGCGTCTGCATCTTCATTCTCTGCTAGAGATATCAAATCATCAGTAATAGCTTTAGCACTGATTCCAATAGCATCAAATCCGATCTTTAGTGCTTCTGTGATGCATTTATCATAATGGGCTTCTTCTTGTTCTTCAGTCATAATGGTATCTTCTTCTTCGCTATCGCTTCCATCTGTTGTTTTCTTCAGATGTTCTCTGTCTCCTTTATCAATTACCTATTAGAAGTAAATCAAAGGCTTACGTTTTCTACAAACTTAGTGTATCTCATGTAATTGAACGAGTTGATAGAGTTGTTTAAAGCTGTATCAGCATTTTTACATAAAGATGTGAGCTCATCTACAGAAGAATGAATGGTTTCTGCGCTCTGGAAAATGTTAAATTCCAGATTTTTAATCTTTTCGAATATCTCAGTGTCTGATTTCAATGTCCAGCTATTCCTCTCAGAGAGAAGCTCTTGGAAATTCGACATCTTTGTCCAGAATATTTAATATAATCTTGTCTGAATAATAGGGGTTTTGGGGTTTTGGGGTTTTGGGG